CCGAAGTCGTCTGCCGTAGTAGTTGTCTTGATTCCTAGCATCTGACCGTGGACTTGATACATTCTCAGACTGCGACCATACCCGAGGCCACAACATCTTGGTCTTCACATCTTCGATATACAATAGTTTTCAAATAGATTTAGCGATAGTTTTCGCTAATCCTGTCTTATTCAGTTTCCTGTTCACTAGATTTCTTTTTGCCAGGATATCTATGGCCTCTCGAATTTTGTGTTTTTTGTACTTCACCATATGTACTCAGCTTTTCTGTCGATTTCATATCCTATCCGTGAGTTTGCTCCGCTATTTCGGATCTTTCTGTATCCATGTTTATACAGTCTTTGATATTCTTTGATTCGTAGACTGATTTTTTTCCTGTTTACCAATATACTTTTGCTTTTGACTGCCGTAGTGTACGCAATAGACTCCTGAGCAATCTAGTTTGCCAAACTTCTCATGTTGCTAAGAGTGGTAAGCTCACTGACGATCCCGGCGAAACGTCTGGAAATGTACCAATTCCATGTTCCGGCTCTGGAAATTATCATGGATACTATTGACTCTGGACAAATTGTGTTCATTAAGGCATCCCCGACAATCCGACCGAGTTGCGGAAGCAAAGTCAAAGAACTTCTATTTAATCAAAGGAGACCGCGACCATACTAAAGTCTACACTATCTTGTTTTCCATACCTTCAATTAATATGAAAGTATAATTATTTGGAATTTCCATCTCGTTTAATAATATTATTTTATATCAACTATTCTTTCTTTCCCAATAAATTTTAAGTTTACTATAAACTTACGCGAGGCTTCGAATTGCCGTTTTCCTTAACATTTCATTTGATGAAAGGCATGTATCTCTTTTTTAATATATTGCTAACTTTACCTTCGAACCTGGGTAATATTTGACCACTTAGATAATATTTTCCTCAATAATTATGCGAGTCATGGCGAATTGACCCCACCTAGTAAAACTAATTTATCGAAGGGATGAATACCAACATGGAGTGGCCTTTTGTATGGTCGCGGTCTTCCTTGGTTGAATAGAAGTTCTTTGACCTTGCTTGCGCTACTCGGTTGTATTGTCAGGGATGCCTTTAGGAACATACCTTTATGTTTTATTAGCCCTATCCTTAAATATAGTCCTACTTACTTTTCATGCGTTCATTACTTTGGATATTCTTTACTTTCCATTTTTCTACAGCTAACAGTCGAACAATACCCGGAATCAGTGGCCAAGATGCTCGCCGTCCAAACTAACGCTCGCTCTTTCGGATGGAGTGACGATGAAGAAGATGAAGATGATGATGACGAAAATGAAGATGAGGATGATGATGATGTAGTGAACATAAACGGGATTGGGGCCAGGGGACCAGAAAGTCTCGGAGGATCACACCAGGATGACGAGAACGAAAATGAGAAGACAAATTTTTCATCAAATGCATCTAAATCCACAAACTTTGACGTACCTGCTGATTTGATGGATAAATATGACTTCGCTGAACCCGCATATGGTGTTCGTCGATTATATCAGAGTATCTTTGATCAGATATCTGGCCGTGGCAAAAAGAATACAGTTCCGGATAAGGATGAGGCAGGTACAAATTCTAACTTGGATCATCAGTCGACTCACGAGTTTAACCATGACTCCTTCAATTCCGGTGGCTCAAAGGAAATATTTCGGGAGCAAAAAAATTAGCACTCATACTGAGTAACTTTATTGCTGCGATGTTAATCACTCATCAGATTATTCTTCTCTGAGGGTGATTATTTCAGGATTGATAACAGTTTTAGAGGTTTAGTAATAATCGAATTGCTTGAATTTGTAAAAGCTTCGAAGTATGAGTTCTCTTTTTAAACACACACACATATATATATATATACATATATATATATTTATATATATGTATATATATATAAGAGAAATAGTGGACGAAATATTTTCATTTTGAATTTTGTGAATACCTAATCCAAAATTGTTCTCTTGTAAGTTTCAATCAAGAGCTCCTCTTTCTATCACTTCCATAATTTCAATTAGTCCCTTAACGTGTCCTTCATTTCTCGCCCTTCTCTTTGTTCTCCTCACTTTTGAATCAACTCTATGGTGCTACGGTATGTTGTTAAGGTTTTCCTTGTATCATATTCCTATCCGTTCGAGGAGCGAATTTTCAACAGATTCTTTCGACATACCCTGTGACTTCCATTTCACTTTCTTTTAGCCTCCATTAATACCATACAATTTTGCTTCCCGGACCATATGCACACATTCATAAACAGCTATACCATTATCTCTAGGAGGAGCATTCATTCGGACATTAATGCTTCTTGGTTTGAAAAGACTTGCGAGGGCTTAAGTCCGACTATACTTGTTTCCAC